TGGGTATACTTAGAAGCTGGGTTCCACAGAACCGTCCTCCCGCTCGTGTCATCTCGGGGTCTCTGCACATGTCTCTCTCCAGCAGGATCCTTGGACTTCTTACACGGTGGCTCAGGACTTGAAGACGGAGAGTCCCAAGAAGCTGGAAGCCCACTTAAAGGCTAAGAGCAGAGCCAGTGTGGTATCGCTTCTCTGGCATTGCTAGTTAAAGCAGTCATAGGCCAGCCCAGGCTCAAGAGGAGGGCAGACAGATTCCACTTCTTAACAGTGAAGTGTCAAAGACTTTGCAGCCACCTGCAGTCTCCAGACACACACATGGAGGCATGCACACACACGCACACACACAAACACACACACGCACGCACACAGGCACACACAGGAAACTGGGGGTAGGGATGGAATGAAGACTGAAGCATCAAGGTAGGAGGGATCCCTCCGTTCTGTTGGCCTGATTTTCCACATGCATGTTATTACTTTTTTTCAAATAAAAAATGTGGAGGAAAAGGGGGAGACAAAAACAACGTCAATATGCTGAATCCTCACCTTCTGTGGCAGAGAGTCAATAGAAAATGTCTTAAATTGATAAATCAAGAAACAGCTGCATAAGCATCTTATTTGGAGTTACAGAGATAAGTACCAGAAGTCCTAAAAATGGAAACATTTCCAGCAAATGCCTCTGGGAGACAGGACTCGGGGAGGGGAAAGAGCAGAGAAGGGGCCAGGAACTGCTGCTTTCATTAGGAGCCCTTCCGTTCTTGTACTTTTTACTATGTGTACATATTACTTTGATAAAAAATTTAAAGGGGGAGAAAATGAGAAAAAGTAGGGATGGTTATTTTTAAAGCTATGTAATTAAACCTGAAGAAAATCTCATTTTGCTAACTGAAAAATAAAAAGGGTAGTGGATACAAAACTCTATTAACTATATCCATGGTATGGTTGGAAATACGTTTAATAAGGACAGAAAGAAAACATATATATAGGGGAGGGGAAGACATAAAGAGATGTACCTCACCAAATGACAGAGGGTGGGTTTCTCTTCTGTGTTTCCCAAATTTTCAGCAATGGGATTCTCTTACTTTCATAATGAAAAGAAAAAAATTCGTTACTTTAAATAAATGAACTGAGCAGCAATTAAATAAAAATGTCAGAAGAGTCTCTGAAGAACTCTTGGCCTCTATAACTGAACCGGGTTTAATTCCTGGGCCCTCCCAGGTAGCGTGACGGAGGAAGGTAGCTCTGTTCACAGGCTCTGGTAGACTCTAGCCAGCCGGGTCTGTGCACTTGGTTATAAAATCTTCCCAGAAAGAATTTAGTCCGTGTATTTTTAATTCAACGGAATAATACCTTTTGTAAGGCTCCAACGTATTCAGTTTTGAATCTGAAATGCTCCTTCAGTCATTGAATAAATATTTATCGAGTACCTACTATCTGCTAGACAAAATGCTGGGGGCTGGGGTTAAAATGGTAGATGAGACAAGTAAAATCTCCATCACCCTGGAGCCACAGATTAGTAGGGGAGGCAGTAAAGCAACCAGGCAATTGCATTAGATCCTAACAGATGCTTTGACTGGGGAAAGTACAAGTGGGAGGAGATAACCTGGAGAGCTTCCTGGAAGAGGCTAAATCTAAGCTCAAACTCAAAGGATGAACCAGAGCAGATTTGGCTAAAGAGGGAAAAAGTATTTCCAGCACAGAAAATACAATATGCAAAGGCTCAGAGACAATAGAGAAGATGGCTAATGCAAGGAACTAAGAATGGAAAAAAAAAAAAAAAGATGTCCCATCATCAAAACAGTCCCAAAGGACCCCTTTCATCTGGAGGCTCAAAGGCCAAACTGCCTGAACTAGAATCCCAGCCCTGCCCCTTAGAAGCTATGTGACCTCAGTCAAAGGACTTTACCTCAACTGTGTCTCAGTCTCTGCATCGAGTGTCCTAGTCTGCTTGGGTTGCTGTAACGAAAGACCACAGACCAGGTGGCTTATAAAACACTGAAAATTACTGCTCACAGTTCCGAAGCCTGCAAGTCCAAGATCAAGGAGCAAGCAGACTCAGTGTCTGGTAAGAACCTGCTTCCTGGTTCACACTTAACACCTTCCAGCTCTAACCTCACAGAGCAGAAAGGAGGAGAGAACTGTCTGGGGTCCCTTTTATAAAGGCACTAATCCCATGCATAAGGGCCCCACCTCCTGACCTAATCACCTCCCAAAGGCCCCACCTCCTAATACCAGTTTGGGTGGGTAAGAGTCAACATAGGAATTCGACAACAGACATTCAGACCAGGGCCCTGGGCTCATGCTCCTTCCCCACCCTCTCTCTCTCCCTCAGGAAGCCACACCCACCCAAATCCCTGTTTCAGACGGCGGAAGGAGCCTTAACTCAGTCACACATGCACTTCAAAAGCTATGTGTTACACACCAGGCTGCACCGTGCTCACTTCTAGGTCTACACTATGGGATCAAAGATGCCAATGCCATGCCAGGAATAGAGCCCCCCTACCAGGGAAACGAAGGTGAACCAGACACTGTCTCAGACATGGAGGGGCTAATCCAAAGGAAAAGGCAACAGAAGAGGGGACACAGCAAATTTCAGTGCAGTCTGCTGTATTCTGATTTGGGTGTTGCTGAAGAACACTCACAGGGGCAGAACCTGAGCTATGGAATCAGATCTTGGCCCAGTCCCGAACGTTCCTTAACCTCGGTTTCCTCATCGGTATGGTAGAGATCCCAAGGTTCACCAAACAAGGTAGCTTAAACGGCTGCCAAGGGCAAAGTGGCTAGCATGGTGTCTGCTCCTACTGGGTACTTGGTACTCCTCTACTCCCTTCTCCCTTGAGGCCACCTAGGCATGAATGGCAAAGCTAGGACCCTTCTTTTTCACCCAAATCAAAGAATGTTTGCAAAAGAGAAAACAGACCCATAGCCTCTCCTGTCTCTCCCTTAATAGTTTATCTCTAAGTTATTCAATGCAAGAGACTTAGCCCAGCTAAAATTATTCAAAATCGACCTTGAGATCAGGAACAAATTGGCTACAGCAGTCAGCGATTGGCAAATGCAATCTAAATGCCCCAGGCGGCATTAGAGCCTTCTACGTTGACAGCAAGAGTCAATGTGCATCTTGGAAAATTCCGAAAAAAAAAATTAAAGGTCACCACATTTGTAGGCAGAATGGATTTTCTTGAGACCATTACAAACAGACTGCCTAAATTACAAAGATTCTAGGCTTGACAGCTCCTGGGGGGTGGGGCGGGGGAGGTTTCAGGTACAAAGAACACCACCCTTGACTCCCACGCATCCGGGCTGCTGTCTGTGGCCATCTGAAGGTTCTGCCGTCACCCGTTCTCTCACCGAAACTGCACAACCAGTCTCTGATGCCTCCACAAACTGGGACGACCGGACTGGGGCCAGGCCTGTGCTCCAAGGGTCTGACCAGGCAGGGAAGCCGAAGAGGCGCAAATCACCAAGATGGCACCAAACACTTCTGTAGAAGTGAATCAAGCCAAAGCAGGAGGCCCCAACCCCAAGGCCAAGTCCAGAAGGAAAGGTTGGGCTTGTAACTGGGAGAGGGATTGAGCTGGGAACGCAGGCTGGGAGCCAGGGGTGACAGGCTGCAAGAGTGGCCTTGAGCGGCATCAGCACAGCTTGGGCTGTCTGGTTTTGTCGAAAAGGAGCACTAACTACTGCTACTAAGGACAGCTAACACGGGCCGGGTGCACTCTGGAACCAGGGCTGGGCTAATCCTGTACACGCGCCTCCTCCCTTAATCCTCAGTGCCCAATACGGTAGCTGCATGTTCCCTCCCCGCTTTCCTCAAAACTGAGGTTTCTCCAAGGTTACCCAGGGAATCACGGAGACCCAGGAAATCTGGCTGCAGGGTGCAAGACCTTGTCGATGTCACTTTCTTACATGTGGTAGCTCAAGTGTGTGCCAGCCTCACTCAAAGAAATAGCAAAACTTAACTCTGAACAGCAGCTAGTAATGTGCACTTCATTTTTTTAAACAAGGAAACTAATGCCCAGGAGAAGTAAGGAGAACAGAGCTCTTCACGGAAGCTAGGTTCACGGGAGCAAAAAATACAGAGGCATCCCAAATACGATAAACTGGCATACGTTACTGGTGAGCAAATATTTACACCTTCCCACTCGTTCCACCATGGGAGGAACATAAGTCCCTGCCCCATTAATGTTGGGCTTGCTTTGGCCAAGGGAACACAGGCAGAACCGACCATGTACTGACAGTTTCCAACTCAGGCCTTACAAAGCATCAATTATTTCTGCTCACCCCTTGGAAGTGGCCAGCTTTTGCCAGGAAAACCCTGCTTCTCCAGTCTCAGCCTCAGAAGCGAACAGAGGGATCAGACCTGCATGCAACCCACAGTGTGAAGCAGAGTCTCCCCAGCCAAACCACAGACCTACGTGTAAGAAATAAATGCTTGTTTTTATAACTCACTGTGTTTGTTGTGGCTGTTTATTACACACCAATATGTGACTGATACATTTACACATGTATATATTATACAGGATACATATCTGATGGCTGTGTGACATGGAGAGATCTGTGTGTAAATACTGAACACACATCTTTATATACAGAAGACAGTACAGGACAATAGTGTAGGATCCAGAGGAAGAATTAAGTTTTCATTCTTCCTCTGACATTTATTGGCTGTGTGCTTTGGGGTGGTTACTTGACCTCTCTGAGTACATTTTCCCTTCTGTAACATAGGGATTAAAATTGTGTCTATCTCATAGGGTTACTGTGAGATCTCAGCGAAATAAAAGTACACATAATGAGCTTAGCACAGACCCTAACACATACTTATTCATTTATTCATTCAACCGATACTGACGGAGTAACTACATTTGCCAGGCACATTTTCTAGGTATTTATTTATTTATTTGAATTTTTTAAATGTTTTATTTATTTTTGAGAGAGAGAGAGACAGTGAGGGAGAGAGACAGAGAACAAGTAAGGGAGGGAAGAGAGAGTGGGAGACAGAGGATCCGAAGAGGGCTTAGCACCAACAGCAACAAGCCGGATGCAGGGCTCAAACTCCCAAAACGTGAGATCATGACCTGAGCAGAAGTCAGAGGCTCAACCGACTGAGCCACCCAGGTGCCCCTAGGTTTTTAGAATACAGTTACTAGCTATATAGAACAAGGAAAAGGTGAAACAGGGTAAGGACAACCAGCAGCCAGGGAAGACGAGGGAGGTATTCCAGGTGAAGTGTTCTGCACAGGGTCTGGCACATAATGACCACACGACAAATGGTAGCCACTTATTCTCAGAGTGATTAGCATGCAAGAATGAGGAACTCAGTTGCAGACAAAAGGAAAATCAGCCTCTCTACTCCCCAGCACAACCCTGTCCTTGAAAGCCTCAGCAAACCACAGCAACAGATCAAGGACCCTCACTGGGTGGACACCACCTCAGGCGCTTTTGAAGCTGATACACAAATCCTGCAAATAGAGCCAGACTCCTATGGTCGGGCTGGGAAGAGACAGGCCAGCTGCTGTTGGGAGGCTGGAGCTCCGCTTGTCCATGAAAGAAGGAAGTTCCTGTGGCCTGAGCCATGCTTTAAATCCACTGATCACATCAAACACGGGCTGCTGGCAGGAGGGAGCGGGTGAGGTGTTCAGAAGCTGGAGGGCAAGGTCAGCTGATGGGGACCCTCCATGCAGGTGTTGCGGAACAAGTGATGCTTCAGGGATCTTAGGCGGTGGAGCAATACACCAGCCTTTGCAAACACACTTACTGTGCAGCCCTTGAGGCCACCTCCTGTTTTTCAGCCCTAATTGGCATGTTTTCCCATCTCCTCAGAAACAGCACAGGAGACGGCATTACATAACAGTAAAAGTACGGTCCTTGGAGTAGGACAATCTGGGTTTGCATCCCGACTCTATTGCTTACTAGCTGCCTCCCTGGGCCAGCCGCTTAGCCTAAGGAACTACCCACTCCTGTTGTGTAAGGATTAAATGAGATCACCTTTAACACCTTACATGTAAAACACCTCACAAGCAAAATGTTTAGCACAGTACCTGGTACAAGGTAACTACTCAGAGTCAGGGCTCTTATTAGTGACCCATTTTTTTTTTATCTTTATTTATTTTTGAGAGAGTGAGAAAGAGACAGAGTGAGAGCAGGGGAGGAACAGAGACAGAGGGAGACACAGAATCCGAAGCAGGCTCTGGGCTCCAAGCTGTCAGCACAGAGGCCGACATAGGGCTCGAACCCACGAACCGTGAGATCATGACCTGAGCTGAGGGTGGTCACTTAACCGACTGAGCCACCCAGGCACCCCATTAGTGACCCATTTTGTAAATGAGCACACAGAGGCCCAGACAGGTCTCTGACCTTACCAATGAACCATGGGATTTTCTTCCTTCACCACACTATTCCCAACTGATCAATTTCTCAAATGAACCTCAAAAATCCTCTAAGGATGAATCTGGAGTTTTGTTCCTATATCAATAGCAATTAGCACATAGTATGACCTCATTGGTTGAACAGTATGATCAGGTCACAAGCTCAGATGCTCACAGAGTATGGCAGCACTAGGGTGGCCATTTCTGTTTGAGCAATGAAAGTCCCACATTCTGGAACACCACTCAGAACTGGGCAAGACAGGACAGCTGGTAACCCTGCTGGTAGCATGACTACATGAAGGAGGGAAAAGCTATGTCTCCTCTGTTCAGGTTTTCCACTTCCGAGAAGCAATCCCATGGACTGGTTAGGAGCAAGGGACTAGAGCCAGCCTCACTCGGTTTACACCCTGCCTCCGATGCTCACCTGCTATGGGACCTTGGGAAGGAAGACCCCAACCTCCCCATGCCTGTTTCTCATCTGTAAAAGGGGAGCTAAGAGGGCTCTTGACTACTGACATTTTGGACCCGATCACTGTTTGCCGTGGGGGCTGTCCTGAGCAGTGTAGTCTATTTAGCAGCATCCTTGACCTCTACTCACTTGACGCCCGTAGAACATTGCCACCACCGCCCCCAGGATGTGACCATCAAAAATGTGTGCAGATATTACCCAATGTCTCCTAGGGGGGGCAAGACTGTCCCTGGTTCACAACTGGTCTAGGAAGTGTTGTAAGAATAAACAAGGCGATGCGTGCATCAGAGAGTCTATTTCTACAGAAACAAACTGCAGCCTTGGCAATACAGTGAGAAGATGGCAAGCCAAGAGAGGAGCAAGCAGGACCATGGGTGGGCCAGAGGCTGTACAGACAAGCGACCGCTGTGGGGGACAAGCTGCAAATGGAACCCGGCCTGGCCAGCGTCCCTCTCACATGAGCCTGGACTTCAATTTTACACCATGTGCAAAAAGTTGCATGGATGACTCCTTGGTTGCTGGCACAGCACCATCACGGAGAGCAAAATCCCCTCCAACTGGATATGTTCCTTCTCTCTCAGATGCATATATATCCCTGTAAGGTGCATTTGTTCATCAAATATTGAATGCTTCCTGTGTACCAGGTATACAGTAGTGAGGAAAAAAAAAAAGTACCTGCCCTCATGGATCTTTGAACATAGTGTCATGATTTATGTGTAATGCATTTTTAACCAACAGACGCTGTGTCGTGCGGTAGAACGGACTCTGTTCCTGACGATTTCCCCCTCGGCGCTTTGTTTTTAAGAGATCTATCCATGTTGCAGCGCATACATCAGATCTAGTCTTCCTGCAAAGCGGCATTCCACAGAGGACTTCGTCTACTTTAGTGCCAGAGCTCTCTCCAGAATGGCTGCACCTGTCCACTCTCCAAGGACTCGCCTTTAAAAGGGTCCCAACCCCACTGGACTCACTGACATGGTGTAGACTTCAGGGGCTCTGCCAACAGCTGCCATTAACTCAAACCATTATGCCCCACCATCAGGGAATACACTTGACCACTCTGCCTTAAGCTAACCTTGATCGCTACGTACGTCACAAAATCAGAGCCCCCTAAATGCCGGAGAAGAATCCAGCCCGATCTCCTGGCTTTGCAAAGGGAGAAACTGAGGCTCAGAGACGTGCAAGAATTGGCAGAGATTTTAGGCAGAGCCAGGTTTGGAAATTCCAGTCTCTTGGCATCTTGTTCCTTTACAAAGCCCTCTTCGAGAGATCAGAAATCCATCCATGATTTACGGGAGTTGGTTCACTTTACACATTTTCTTCCATCTCTCCCGCCCGGTACCGCCCTCCCCATCTCATATCCCCCACCCCACCCTGTTTTCAAATTCTTGCTGGAACCATCCATTTTGTGACCAAGTGTTGACTTCAAATGATATATGAGACAATTGACATTTCAAATATTCCAGGCAGGATAGAGAATTCTGATCACAGACCAGCCTGAAACATTCCCACATCTCTTTCCTTACTCCTTCTGGGCAGTAATTGTCCCCCTACCAGCCCACCGTCTCCCCCTCCACCCCAACATTAATTTCCCCTGATTCATTTTTCATGCCTTTGAATTCTGCCTTTCCAAAGCAGAATATGTTTCTGGAGCTGTTTCTCATACCTCCCTTCGCCTTCATGAATATTTCAAATGCAATAGTGATATGATCGTTCAACCTTAGAGGCACACCAACTTTATCTTATTTATCTTACCGAGCTGCTTCCACGCCGGGATTAAGTCCAAAACATCCTTTGAGAGTTTGTTTGGGTTGTTTTCCCCCAGGCCACTGCTGCTGTCTATGTAAATTATAGGGAGAAACAGCCTGTCCTCCGCCCCAGCACCCACCCCCCCCCCCCCCCGCCCCCCCCCCACCCTCACCCCCACCCCCGGCCCTGGAGGCAGGCCCCTGGCCCCAGACACCCGCCTGCCAGTGCCAAGCCTCCTTCTGCTCTTGTCCAAGCCAACTGGCAAGCTTCCTGGTGGGTCCCTGCCGCGGCATAAACCTCCCCCAGCCTCCAGCCCAGTGGTCCCTTGCAAGCAGGAAAAGGACTCTCCATGGGACCTTGGGTAGGTCATTTTGCCACTCTGGGACCAAGTTTCCTGGTCTACATACAAGGAGTGGGACATATGATCCTAAAGGTTTCTCAGCCCTATGGCTCCATGTGACGCAGCGGAACAAAAAGGGCACAGGATTCGGAATCAGGCGGGGTCTGTTTCAAATCCAAGTTCTACCACTACGCTAGCTGGTGACCCTTCACTAACTGTGCCTACCACTAAACTAGCATGTGACCCTTAATGGTGTCAACCACTAACTAGCAGTAGGACAACTGTGTCTACCTCTAACTAGTAGTGTGACTCTTAATTAGCTGTGCCTACCACTAACGAGTTATGTGACACTTAACTGTGTCTACCACTAACTAGTTGTGTTACCATGATGTAGGTTACAGAAGCTCTTGGAGCTTCAGCTTCCTTCCTTGTAAAACACATTTGGTTACAACAGCTGCAGTGGGGTGATGGGCCATCCCATCCTGTGTGCCTGGGACCGAGGAGGGTCCAGGGACACAGTGCTTTCTGGGCTAAAACTGAGAAAGTCCTGGGCCAGCCAGGACTCACAGGTTACCCTAGCTTGTAATACTAATCGGAAGTGAATGAGGTGACATGTAGAGAACCGAGTACACGGAAATAAATTAGGATATACCATTAATTATTGCTAATGGCCGTGGAGGAATTACTTTCACTTCTGATTTTTTCAAGTATTTTTACATTTCCTTTTATCAAAGCAATACAACCACATGAGAAACAAGACTTGAAATAAAAAGCAAAGCTCTCTTGCTGCAGCTCTCCTCCTAGCCCAGCCCCTGTCCCCCAAGGTGAGCTCTTACAACCCTTTGTAGCTTCTGATCTTTCAGGGCTGAGTCTGCACACTCACTCCATCTGCTCCAGTCCTTCTGGCCTTAAGGATCAGCTTCTCAAGGCAGGGTGGTATCCAAGAGTAATAATTCTATGGCAAGGGCACTGAGGAGCCGAGTAGGAAGAGGGGGCAGACCCTGGAGACCCCTCTGCTGGGCCAGGCATTAACTCTGTAGGCGCTGGGTCACGGGGAGGCGGGAGCCGTGGCAGGCAGAAGCAGCAGC